AAATTAGAGCATCGAATTAAAAATGCCTTCTTCAAGTCTGTCGAATAACTTGTCCTTCAAGTTAACACGCATTAATAATGTGATTAATGTGAATGTGTTTTCTCATAGTTGTTTGCATGTTTACGTATGTTCTCTAGAGGGCAAGTAGTCCGGGGCAAGAAGCTACCGATGGTTCGATTCTAGACAAGGGCTAAAATCCCTCCCCTGGAATGACAACTCAAATAAAAAAACAGTGTTCCAATATATTTGTGCCAATTTCACTTTTCATAACATTTCATCCAATTGCTTAAGAAATATCGCGCCGTCTTTCTGCATAGTAGTAGATCATCTTTTGGCATGCAAAATGACACACTTCTCACTTTGACTTCGTTTCCAAACTTTTGCTTTAATGTAATTCTATGCACAACTTGCCTTTTCTTTTAATCTGAATGCTTTGATTTGGAATAACTTACTGTCTATACACTGTTCGGTTGTTCGCGAAATCAAAAGCAACTTTTGCGACTCACCGACAGGGTGGAGACGATGTGATGATCTCTACCCACATAAACGGCAAAAATACTGGCAACTGGAAGACTTAAAAAGTGTTAATGTCCCAACAATACATCTACCGTATGACTGCCGCACTGGAGAAAGGGTGGAGAGCTAGGTAGCTAAATCCTTGTGAGAGTAGACTTTTGGAAAACTCGCTTTAGGACACTTTGCAAAGCAGTTGGGATTCTAAGACTGAGGCTAATGTCTTTTCCGTATAGGTGGAAATCAGGGCCGCAAAAAAGCTATGCAAGCGCGATATGTTTCAAACAGCTCAGAGGTGGGAGACGAGAGGGGAAGTTGGAGCAGTTCTTCAGCTGGAGGTCTGGCAGCCGTTGCTACTCCTACTCCCGAATTACCATCACGATTCCGTTTTCACCATCACTATCACCACCATAGCAAGGCGGGGCATTCACCGATTCCGCCATCATTACCCTTGCAATCGCCACTGACAATATCTCCATCCAAGTATCACCATCACCATCACTACTTTAGGTCTCCAGAGTGGCACAATCACAACGATGCTTTCACACATCCGCATTCGGTTCCACCAGAGAATTACCGTCCTTTCCCATGCAAGACCTTGGGAATTGGTGAGCGTAGAAAACACATTTATGCACAATTTTATCTTTTTTACAAGTCTACGTTTACAAAACAACGAACGTGCCGCCTTGGAATCCTTTAACAACTGCCACTAGTAGACAGCATTGTCGTGTCTGACGTCATCCATCGTTACTTATGTCCACTGATTGGTACTTTTATTAAGTTAAATATTGTTTGGATTGCCTTCAAAATGCAGGGAATGCCAAAAATGCACTTTATTTTATTATACGGAAACAGCAAAAGGCCCGCCAAGAGTGAGATGAGCGCTCAAGTATTTGATGGCTTATGCATAAGCAAGCCATCAGCAAAACGCAGTGTTGTTGACGATGCAAGCGCCGTGTTGATGGTAGTGAGTACAATTGTAGGGATTCATTTCTGTGTACAACTCGTCTTCATTTACTTGTAAGCCCCACGAACTATTATGGTGAGAAAATGCGTGTGTTGCTACTCGACCATAGATTAGTAATGCGGATGAGGTACTAACTCAGGAATATAAAAATTTCAGCCACAGTTATTGGCAACGCTGGCTGCATTTTAGAAAGCTACGTAACGGAGAACCTGCTCCTGAGTGCTCACATCGCGAATTCCAAGGTCAAGTCGCAACAACTGACCGAGCTGCCACTCTTCCAACGCCGTTGCGCTCACGCTCTTGCCGACATGATTGTCTCTCCTCACACCATTCTTCCAGCTCTCATTGGTGTCTTTCTTCGTCCTGATGGAACCAGAAGAAGCGCATTTAACAAGCAACTTTCAGGTTGGTGGCCCTGGCTCCTCGTCACTACATGCATATTTGCTGATCTTGTTCCACCCCTTCAAAATGGAGAAGAAATGGACATATAACTTTCTTTATTTATTGTGCGGTGCTAATAGTCGTATTGATGAGTTCGGAGTTTGACTGATTACACGCAACCACAGCTGAAATAGCACGCCGTCACTTCAGCGCACTGTCACCTAAGCAATTGTCTAATCTTCCAATGTAAGTAGATTTCGTTAACCTCCAAAACTTAATTCTCTGATTACAAGATGGCAACCACTTAGTGCTAGGATTGTAGCCAAAAAAGTTAATTTTTTTGTAAAGTGCTAAAAGAATTGTGAAATTAACTATTAGCTAGAATGCAAAAGCGCACTACTATCGTTGAATGCGTAAAAGTGGGTTTTACAATCCGTACGAATGAACCCTCAACTCAGCCACTTTTGCCTCAGTTTACCTGAAGGCCGCCTACCGTCGCACAGCAAAGAAGCCGAGGGGCCTGCAAAGCAAATCAGACATTCCGGCCACTCTTCTACCGACCATCCTTGCGTTGCTGTTCAGCTATATTTGTGGTCTTATCTTTGGGTGGCAACTTGGCCTTACAATTGGTCTCACCTCCGTCACGCTTTACCTTACCTTCCTATGTAAGTGCCATCTTCTTTCCCAGTGACAGTAATGTAGGATGTTCCATAAAGTGAACACTAAAATGGACGCACTTTTATGGCGAATGCCTAGTGAAACGCGTTGCATCAGCATTGCCAAGTTATGCCAGTACGAAGTGTCCATTTCCTTTGACGCAAGGCCTTAGCGTAATGCAGTGCTTACCTGCTTATTAGTAGGCTAACTTCGTCGTAAGATTAG